CTTGCTAGTTTTCCTGAGACTTCTGGGAATTCAAAATCTTTGAAATCTCCGGCTTGGTCAACATAGAGATTACCTCACACTAGTGCATATATTAAAGGCATATTGCTCCAATTTCAAATGTTTTACCGTCTGATAGTAATAAGTTCACAATATGCTACATACCATGAAATAAAAAAATATCTTTTCCCTGGTGTAAAAAAATTTAAGTAAATTTTGTTACATTCAGATATGTATTCTTTCTCTCTTTTTGAAGAATAGCCACTCTTCTGCCAAGTATGTCTTTAGAATTCCTTCTCTTTGTTGAAAGAAAAATCCTTGTAAAAACAGAAAGTTGCACATTCCATTTAGTATAAGTGACATGATCATGAAACCCAGGTCTTTTATTTATACTTGGGATAATATAGAGGTAATGAAAGTAGTATTGGACCTAAGAGGTATTTTGTTTCAATTATAAAACAGTGTGGGTAAGAAACTTCAATTTGACAGCAATATAAGAAAAGCAATATTGTGTTCATGCCTTCAATCAGCTTTATTAGATCCTTATAGAGAAAATTATGTGAAAGAGAGAAAGAAAACAACAAACTAAGCAAGATCACAATTTCAGCATATTTTGGAGAAAATAACTGATTTGGGTTAGTTGTCTTGCCAGGATGAATGACTCAAGGCTTCCAAAGAAGAAATGGAAACCAGAAGGATAGCTAAAGCCTAAAGAACAAATTGAGAATATATGATTGACTGTAATGTTTCAAAATCAACTTCTGCAAAGACAAGTTTGGGCTGTGGCCCAGAATACAATTGAATGGTGGTGTTCATTTAGACCATTATTGCTGAAACAAAATAAGATGTAGCTGTGGCTGTGTTTCTGTTAGAGATTTACTTGTTCTTTCCAATGTTTCTAGCTAGGAATATGATGTCACACTCTCTCTCCTATCACAAGCTGCAGTGATTGCTGCTGTTCCACAGTTTTTCTGAACACTGGTTTTCTGAAGAGAGTTCTGAGTCCAAGTGATAACATCTTTCAAATGTGAAATGTCATCACCATTCATTAGTTTACTTTGAAAAATTTTGTACACTGTGTGCAAGTAGGCTAATTCGTTGTTATTGACCAAAGAGAAAAGAAGTATAACATTTTCATGTGTGGATGCATTTTCTTGCTGGCATGGGAGCCATTTAAGTTTCTGCTATCATCATGCTGGTGTTTAAAAATAACTAAATAGCTCATTCTGCAAAGATTTCAAATAATGAAATCTTTAATGAGCATGATTTGTAAAGCATTACTTGAAAAATGTGGTGGCAGCTGCTCAACTCGTCTGAGGAACAGAAGAGTCTCTGCTTCATGCAAAAATGTATTCAGTTGATAAGAGATGGTGATGAGATGGGACTATTTTAATTTCTCCTTCCCCTCATTCACTTCATCTCAATAACTGTGCTTCCTAACCATTTTTTTTTTTTTTTTTTTTTTTGATGTTTCTATTTCAAACAAGGAAAAAGAAACCAAACAAACCACATTTTGTAATTAAATACTGAGCTAGTTCTTACCATGTTTACTGAATTACATATTGCCTATATGTATGTATCCTCAAAGTTTTCATGTGTTTTTAGACTTCTTAATATGTTCCATAGGAATAGATCTTAACTCCTTCCTCTCTGTTTTTGTGTGGTAAAATTTGCCTCCACGAAAGAAAAGACGATTAAAACAGTGAAGCCCACTTGCAGGGACATGAATATAGCTGCTGATCTCTGCAGATTTTCCTTGCTCACAGTAGAGGTTCTTCAAGGAAAAGCCATCAGTGTTGGCCTTATAGCAGATTGGCTTCACATAATGTGCCCAGGACAGCTGTCCTGTTGAGAACTTTAAACCAGGAAAAACAGGTGAGTTTATCAGCAGCCTTGTCACTGAGCAATAGACGGGGCTGACAAAGGGCATGGGTAGTGGGAACCTAAGGGAACACACCATCAACAGCTCAGCTGTCACCATAAGCTGTCACCTCAAGCAGATTCAAGCGTTTGCATTTAAGCAAATAAATGCCTGAAGCAAGAAAAGCATTTGGAGGACTATTGCCAGCAGGTGAAGGCAGGTGATCCTTCTCTTGTGATCAGCTGTGATGAAGCCTTGAGTGCTGTGCTGAGTTCTGAGCTCCTCCATACAAGACTTGTATGGCATGCTTGGGCATACTGGAGAAAGTCCAGCAAAGAGCCACAAAAATGAGTACATGACTGAAACATCTCTTCTATGGAAGAAAAGCTGGGAGAACTGGAACTGTTCAGCCTGGAAAGAGAAGGCTTAAGGGGCTCTTATCAATGTGTATAAATATGTGAAGAGAAGGTGCAAAGAGGATGAGGCCAGGCTCCTGTCAGTGGTGCCCAGTGACAGGACAAGAGGCTACAGGCACAGAGTACCAAAGGTGTGATCTGTACATCAGGAAGCACTTTTGTATTTTGTATTGTAAGAAGGATTGAACAGGGTAACCAGAGACATTTTGAGGTCTGTCTCCTTAGAGGTATTTGTAGCCTGACAGGTCACAGTTCTGAGCACCCTAGTCTGTGTGCCCCTGGTAGAGGAGGGGTTGAAGCAGATGGACTTGGAAGTCCCTGCCAGCCTCAACCATTCTGTGATTCAGGAGTAATGGATAATCGCTTTTAGTATTTTCAGTTTCACTTCTCTAGAGTTTTCGAACAGCCCACAGCTTGGCCTACTGATCATCTGAATAGCTGATATTTCAATATTGAAACGTGGCAGAATTTTGGATTTCTTTTTAGAAACAATTTTTTTGGTCTACCAATATTGCTGAGATTGTGAATGTGTTGCTCACTTTAGGTTATCCTTCCCTCTACAATTTCTCTGAAGAGTTTTCCTGATATTTTCAGAGCCCACTGGAATGTTATGTAACTTATATTTTCAATAGCTACATATATTTTAACATGCACGAAGGCTACACTGAAAAAGCAACCTGAACCGCTGTGTAAGTCCAGGTAATGCTGTTGTGGGAATTAGAGCTAAAAGAGTTATCTCTCAATTTATACATATTTTTGTAATGAGAAAATCTGGATAAAGTTTAGGTCTCACTTCTCATCACTTAGAACTACACCTGAGAGTAGAGCAGCGGAGCATGTTCCATTTTCAATTTCCAATCATGATGGAGTACTAGAAATTCCAAATGTGATGCCTGTTGTAAATACACTTACAGTGTTTTAGATTGAACTGTAAGGAAGAAGGTGTTTATAGGAATTTGTGTTCTTTTTTGCTGATCCTTCTTGGACCTTGATTTCAGTTTGAACTCATGTTAAACTATGTGAATCACATGCATAAAGTTGTTCCATGTTTCAATAGCTTGCTGAATCAGCAAGAGTATACTCTGAATATATATAAACTGTTAAAAGCTAAGACTGTAGCCACTCTATTTATACCTATATTGTTTTACCAATATCTATGGTTATGTATGTCTATATATCTGTTTATATCTATATCTATATCTGTAGAGCAATACATACAGGTATATGTTTGTATATCTGTATTTTTTTATATTCCTAAACTGAGACTTGGAGGAAATTCAAACATCTGACTCCTCCAATGAATTCCTGAAATCTCTTACCTAGGAACGTTCAGTGTTTTGTCATGAAACCATCAATGTATAAAATGATCAAAGTTTCTTTTCACAGTAGACTGGAATCTATATCTTGCTCACTTCAGAGGAGCTATAAGTGATATTCCCAGTCTGGAAACTCTTCAAAACCTAAATATTTTATTTACATTGGAGTGGCTTAGTAACAGAACTTCAAAGAAATGTTAGGAGGGTGAAAAAGATGATATAGCATTTGTAGCTTAGTTGGATGAGGACTGTAAATTTAATTGTTTTTCTTTGATGTGCATAGGATAGCTATAGAAGGTTCTGTTGTGATTACTGTTTTACACCCTGCAGAAGTATCCAGCATAATGGGCAGTTTTATAAAGATGAATCACCTTTAAACATTTCTAAATGTGATTTCTTCTGTAGACTGTTCCCTCTTACAGTCCTGAAAGAAGCATAAGATATCTGAAGATGGATAAGCGTTAAGATATACTCTTGTTGGCTGACAAGGTAGCTTTTTGCAGATTGCAAAGCACTACCTCTGTAATGTGGAGGCCTAGCAGACACAAACTATGTCTACTTTTACATCAGTTGGGGATTCTGAGAACTATCTGATGTATTCCCAAGACCCAACCTTGTATAGTAAGTGGAACTCAGACTGCCTTTAAATACCTAAATTATATATATATATAAAATTTAGGTAATGCAAAGTATCACGGTAGATCAACGCTTGGCTTCATATGAACTCCAGAAGACTACACCTATTGTAAATCCCATGACCATTTAAGGGGCCAGGCTTAGAGAAGGGCAAAGACCTGAATGAGTACAGTAGCAAGACATTGCTACTTTTCTTTTTTTTTTTTTTTTAGTTTTTTTCCAAGATGAAATCCATGTATTCTGTCTCTGTGAATACCTAACTTGTATTGAAAAATGAATTGCCCCAAAAAGTTATTTCATGTATTTTCAAGCATGTAAAGAACAAAATTTTAAAAGGTGCCTTAACCTAGTATCTGAAATGAGCATGCAGATTTTTATATGTAGTTTGCTGAAATCAAGCTTTTTTTCAAATTTGTATTTTGTTACTTCTATTTTAAATATCATTATTGCTACATCAAAAAAACAAATATAGTGAAATACTACTTCCTCATCAGTGTCAAAATTGTTCCTCTTCTTTTAAATATAATTTCTTGTCTACTTGGGAAAATTTGACTGAATTTTTACTTCTTAATTGCTGACTTTTGATTGTCTTTTCACCGGCACATAATAATATCGGTAATACATTAATTAGTAAAGCAAAGAAAAAGCATTACTATTATATGTTTGTATGTTTGGAAACATTAATTGCTTTGCCTGAAAGGGAAAATTGAATTGGCAATATGGCAATGATCTGCTGTTTATCCATACAAAAAATGTTTTTTTTTTCTCCAATAGATTGCTTGGTTTCTACAAAGGAATACTCCCTCCCATCTTGGCTGAGACGCCCAAAAGGGCAGTGAAGGTAAAAAATATAAATCAACATGCTTTTCCCTTTAAAAACATAAGCAAGAAGAAGAGCAGCTCTAATATATTGTGTTTCTTCCACACTGATTGACATTTGATTCTTAAGATTCTTTGGCATGTTGATCTTCTGATTTTTAGAAGGAGTAAACTTTTCTGTTGAATAAAAACTCTACTTGACTAAGAAGTGCAGGATAATGCTTTTAAAAGTTAGGATATTTTTTATCTGTGAATATAATGTTACTGAAAAACAAATTGTGATTAGTTTATATAAGCAAAGTTTATAATAAAATACTAGAAGTCAGATTTTAGCTTCACAATTACCTCTGCGTTAAACTTTAATTGGAAACACCTAACAATTTACAGAGCAGCTAATACTCTGAATGGCTTAATAAATGAACACAAAAAAAATTAAGGAAGCCACTCCTAGAAAGTATTTACTAAGAAACTTGAAGTGGTGTATCTGTAGGTTTTAAGTGCTGCCTGAGATTTTTCATATACTTTAAAGAACAGCCTTATCTATAATGTTGCTTTTTTCCAGATGGAATATATATGTGGGTACAACTTCCTATCATGCAAGGAATGTTTTACTCCATCTCTTGAAATGGATGCTAGCCTATAACAGTGTATTCAGTGTCAAATGTTGATCTGATTTCCTTTTACTATCCCCTATGTAAATTTGTAGATCATTGTTTTAGTACCACTCCTATGCAAAATATATCATTACGCCAAATTTTGTTCAGTTATACCATACAATCCCTTTTATCAAAACATACTTTAAAAAATCACCTCATCTTACAGTTCTAAATCTATCAAAGAATCCATTTTGTCTTTCACTTCACAACTTTGAAGTCTTCTATAGTTATGTCAAGTATGTTTGAAAGCAGTTACTATACAGAACATCTTGATTTTCCTTTCTTTCTTCTTTTGTTTCATTCTAAAAAACTGCACCTGGTCCTGAGCCTTAGCCTGCCATTCATCATTCACATTCCAATTCCTTTATAGAGGAAGAATATTAGAATTAAGTGCCAGGATATGACCTTGTAATTGGAGTTCTGTTAATGTTATCTTCTTGTTTGCATTAACATTTTAGATGCAAATGATGTCATCTATCTCAAAATTATTTGATACTCAACTAAGCAAACTAAAGTTCAGTTTAAAGGCAAAGTGGCAGTGGAGAAAAATGGATGATATTTAAAAGCTTCCTAATAACTTGTTTTCTTCAGACTGATGTTTTGGCTGTCTCTCTATTTCATTGCAGTACGAATGACTTGAAGTTCATCTGATCATGCATTTCAGATTCCAGCATACATTTAACTAAAATACAAACCCGAGTTTGATTTCTCTCCTACCAGCCTGAGTCATTCAAAAATGAGAAATCACTTTCTCTTAGTCCTGTGGCTTAGTCTCCACAATATTAAATATAGTTATAAAATATAAAATTGGGAGAAATCTCTGTGGGTCATCTGGTGACCTATTACCCAAAACATTTCTGACTTCATAGCTAGAGCCTTGTGTAGTTGAGTTCTCAAAATTTTCCAGGATGAAGACTGCAGCCTGTCTGTGTTCTTGCTTCAGTGCTCAATTTCTCTCACTGTAAAGAATTTTACCTTATATTCTGTCCAAATTTTCTCTGTTGCAGCTTTACATCTTGCTTCTTTTTTTTTGTTGTTGTTGTTGTTGTGAACTTCTGAGAACAGTCTGAGTGTCTTCTCTTTAACCTTTCTCTAGACAGTATAAGGCAGGAAGTAGATCCCCTCAGCCTTCATAACTTCAGGATAAACAAACTCAGTTGTCTCAGCCTCCTTTTGTACATCATAAGCTTCTTATATATTTTTACTACCTGCTACTTAGTGAGATGCTTTCTACATATTTTTTGGGCATCAATGTGAGGGCCCAGTATGGTTTCTGAAACTTTGAGAAACAGGTCTAAATGCTAAACGTGCCTCTAAATTAAATAATTGATTTCTTAATTTTTGCACTATTCCTATAAACTTTTTGCTGTTCCAAGGACACCAACGTGGCATTAAGTTATCCTGACATAGCAGCTCTGTTCTACACTGGAAGAATAGGACAGTACAGTGATGTATTTGTAAGATCTTGGATCCTGAAGCTGTTTAATGTCAGATGTTATCTGCCAGCACAATTTCTAACATCCAAATAGAGATAGTGAATCTATGCTTTGGCCCAAAGAGAATTAGGCTTGGCTTAATTTCTCTTCTCTTAATTTCCACTAAACTTGTTTGGTTATAAATGTAAAACTCTAATGGAAACTCACTGCTTCCTTTGGCTCACTCTCCACCTTTTATTCCTCTGAAGGTATTAAATGTTTCAACAGGCCCAAGTATGTCCCTTGCCCATTGCCAAACTGGCTAGGGTCATGAAGATCTCTGTCAATGCCTATGTGTTTGAGGTCATAGAAAGCACAAAAGATAGAGAGACAATTTTTCTGCCTTGATTTGGGTTTGTAATGAACTTTTTTGAAAACTTCTAGGTAAGGTGTCTTTTATATCTCATAAAAGTGTATAGAGCATGAGCTAGGCAGATTTTGTACTAAGAAGAAATTTAATTTTGCTGTTGATTTAATTTTTCTACTGAAATATATTTACCTGAAATGATTATTTGCTAAAAAATATAAAGTTGCTAAAACAAAGTTATATAGCCACAGTTATTCAGCTTTCGTGTTGCGTCAAAGATGCAGGTTCAATTTAGGCAAGTAGATTCTCATATCTGTCTTGCTATTTCTTTTTATTCTTTCTCTTCATCTCCCTTCCCAAGAAGGAAAATAGGTATTTCTGTAAGATGAAAAGTCTAAGTTTATAAATTTATGTTAGATTGAACTCAGAGGGAAGAAGTGATGATGCCGATAGAATGGTTAACAGATGAACTTTTGGGGCAATCTATATTGTTCATGCATTCCCAGACATCTTGTTTCAAGCATGTATTTTTACCTCAGTGTTATTGAGACATCTGGTAAGTACTTTGACTATTTTCTGTGAATTAAAGTGTATCTTTGCCAGATGGACAATATTGGTTATTATATACACAAAAGCATGCATTAAATACGTTTATGGTGGAATTTTTTTATTTTTATTTTATTTTATTTTATTTTATTTTTGCACAAGGCTATTAACTTAATACAACTGTAGAAAGACAAATTGCTCTTTTTTTAAAAGCAACTTGGGTAGATATAGATAATATAAATCCATATGATATAGCTGGATACTTTTAGCAAAACTGTATGTATACTAGCTACTCTATTATATCCGGAAACGTTTAGATTGGGTTTTACTGGTATGTATTTATTTTCTTTCAAAAATGATATGAAACATCGTTACTATTAAGTATTTATTCTATTTATGACTGTAGGAAGTGATTGATTTTTAAGGTAAAAATTTTAAGACCAAAAAATTGCTATCAATGTATTTCTGCCTTTATTACAACCATTTTACAGATCTGTGACACTATGGAAAACATTAAGGAATACCAGAAATTCCATTAAAGGTTAGGAGGGCAGCAATGAGTAGGAAGATGCTGGAGAGTGAATAAAGCAAACTTTTATTGCAGTAAGAACTGAATTTAGTTCTGAGAAGTAACTCATCCTACAACTGACACTTTCTCAAAGATTTCCTTTTAACTATAAGTAAAATGATATCTTCAGTTATCCAATAAGACAGACCTAAGAAAATCTTCTGTCTTTTCTGATTGTTGTCAAAGCCATCCAATGATTTTAAATGTATTTGCAGGATGTTTGCAAAATGGATGTTAGATCTGTACACTATTTGGATTGCAGTTGTAATCAAGGCTCTGTTTATAGGGCCTTTTCTGCAAAACATTGTAATCCTTTTTGGTAATAAAAAAAATGTATATCCACTGGCTAGAGTATTCAGTCCTTCAGTTTCAGTTTTTAAAATCTTAATTTTATGTTACAGAAGTGTAATACATTTCCTACTTTTGTAAATATGGTGTTATTATTAATACTGTATCTCTGCTGTACTCAGTGAGATCTTAACATCTTTTTAGAGTAAGCAGGTCTTAACTGAAGACCATTGGTGCAGGTGAAAAAAGGTTCTCATTTCTTTCTTGAAGTTCAAACACAAAACAGCATAGCATGTTAAACTCATCCTATAAGGAACTTCAGACGATCAGAACTTCTGAGCGCCATTGCCGCTGACTGACACTTGTTTATAAAGAACAAGAACTATAAAAAATGTGTCTCTTGAAAATGAAAAACTATAATAACCTACTCACTTTCCATCTTAAAAATGTACAATTACATCTTTCTGTTGAGAAGTAGACCAATATATGAGAAATATGAAGGTGATTGCTATATTCTACATTAAATACGAGGGCGATTTCTTGTGGGATGTAGTATCTGCTAGTACATTTAAACTAATACAAGAAAATTAGATGATAAACAATAAACTGAAAACAAAAACTGTGTTTTAAGTGAACTCTTATATGAAATAATAATTGTATTTATGCTGATGTGCATATTATACTTCAGGTTTGAAGCCTAGTTATCTTCATCTGGACATTAAACACTGATAGAGTGAGCATGAAACTCATTGAAAAATGGAAAGTAGCTTGTGTTTATTTTTCAGCTCTCCATGTGGCTACTTTAGATGTGAGGTAGTGAAATATTGTAGCTTGGTTTACTAACTTGCGTAATTGACTCATAATTTTTTCCATGCAATTTCAGTCTAATTTCTCTTTATAGTTTTTCACCTTTGAACAATACAAGAAGCTACTAGGATATTCATCTTTACCTCCAGGACTGGTATGTATGATAACACTTCATGTTCTATTTTCATACATATATATTGAACAACCCCATCTGTTTCCTTCCATATTGGAAGCCCAAATTTTAAGGGGTACACAAAATGTTTTTATACGAAATGTGGCTAGCATGTGTTGTCTGCCTGCTCATATATAGGGCTTAATTCTACTATGGTATCTTTTAGAATAAGATAATTTTATATTACTACTTTCTATAAATGACAGTTAATGCATATTTTTCACAATAATGGCATGACAACTATATGAAAGAACAGATATATTTCTGGACATGCTACATAGGTTAGGCTAGTGAAAAATTCCTAATACCAACTGTCTTAAAATTTGCAGGAAAATCTTGAGAAAATTGCCCATAAAAAACAAACACATCATTGCTGACCAAAAGCCGCTCCAATTCATACAGCAGATAAAACAGCAACCAGCCATCCCAATGTTCTTGCACATTTTTGGTGCATTTTTGATTACCATAGAGGCATTTTTGCTTCTGAGGTAGGCATGATAGAGAGAGAAAAAACAACTGAGAGAGATTCTGGCCAAAGCTACGCAGAATGTCCAGAGGTGCCTCCACATGATTCTTTCTGAGATAAAAATTACTGCCAAAAGAGGGATGCATTATATATATAATGCATCATATATAGCATTATATTGTTGCTGGTTGACAGTGAAAGAGATAGATTTCTGTTTCTATCTTACATTGGAAAAATTGGTGTGTTGGTAATATGGTAGTATGGCTGGAGGCAAAGGCACTATGGATAAAGCCTGCCACTACCCTTCCAATTTACCGTTCTCTTTCTTGAGCTCCCTGGAATCCTGGCTCAAAACCCTCTGTATTGAATGAATTATTTTTCTCACTATTGTTTTTTCCTTACCACTGGTTTCCTTAAATTTTGACAGATATACTCAACGTATTGTATAACGGTACTGGGACTCTTTTCAGCCACTCAAAAGTTCAGAGACAAGAAATGGAGGCAATAAAAGTGCAAAGTGATCACAAAAATTAAATGATCGCTCTGATTTTTCTTGTGATTTGAATATTTAAATTATTTTTCTGTAATTTAAAAAAACAAAAACAAAACAAAACAAAAACAAAAACAAACAAACAAACAAAAAACCCTACCAAAAAGCATGTATTTCTAATTGCTCTTTCCTGGTGGAAAGCAATGTAGTAAATATCACCATTTCTGTGGCTGTAATGTACCATCAGCTTCTAAGTAGACAAAAATAATTCACCCTTTGAAAAAATGCTGACATTTCCATGTGTGCCACTTATTCCCATCCTTTTCAAGGATGGATGTTTACTTAGGAGGACTTTTCTTCTCCTTGCACAGTTTGTCTAAGTACCTCGCTTCTAGCTTTTTCCCTTGCATTTATATTTGTATTTTTACTTAGGCTCCACCCAAAGATACTAGGAGGGCATTGTTTTTCCATGTTTTCATCATAAATCGATACCACAGAGTGCAATGACATTTTATTTTGCATTTTTTGGAATGTGGTTTATGGCTATTGTCATATTGTCTTCAAGAATTGTCAGCATCCAATCAAGGTCTAGCTTTTTTTTTTTTTTTTTTTTGTAGTAGAGCACTGACATAGCTGAAGTATTTCATTGTATTCTCTCATTCAGTTTCATAATCTGAATATATTTTACTACTTGATTTTTACATGCTGATTGACTTAACTTTCCTAGACATTTGCAGTTGCTGGCTTGGGATCTGGATTAACAGAGGCAGTAGTGGTCAACCCTTTTGAAGTAGTAAAGGTTACCTTGCAGGCAAATCGAAACAGTTTCACAGAGGTATGAGAATTGCACCACTGTTTGTTTTGTTTTATTAAGCGTCGTGCACTTGAAAGTTCATGTTTAGACCAAAATATCTATGCTGTACTGGGTTGATGCAAATGATTTTTCCACAAGCCTAGTGGAGAAGGAAAAATGAGATAAAAGATTCATTAAATTGTGCTGTCAGATTTGCATCAAGATGCATACAGTACTGTCCTCTGTGTCAGTATTTCCATTGCATATATTCAGTGAATCTCTTTACTCCCACAGCAGCCAGTAGTACAGCACTGTGAAGAATTGTTATCCTGAAGTACAAATCTGAGACTCTTATGTACATTTACCCTGGCAGTCTCCAGACTTCTAGTGAGAACAGAGAGTTGGCATAAGATGCTGAGGTCCAGTGTGCTGGGCAGGTCCAGCTGATGTCTTTTATGTTGAAATATAGCTGGTAGATTTCACAATCTTGGATGAATTTATTGATGTTAAAAGTAGCTGTTATGGGCTCTGTAATTCACTCAGAGAAGCATTCTCCTAGAGAATAATTTTATAACATTTGATAAATTTTTGTTACATTCTCAATGCATACCAGAGATGTCAGGTTGCCCAGGGTCTCTGGCCTAGTCATTTTTTAACTATGAGCAGTAAAACCGCTGAAACAAAGAGCTCATACTGCACAAGAAAAAAAAGGGTTGAGTTACTGCAAGGAGAAAGCAGTGCATGGGAGGATTTCCATTTCAGGAAAGTACCTAATTTACACTTAACATAGGATTGAAAGTATCTATTTGCCCAGATATTAAAAAATCCAAGGGTCTTAAGTTCTTAAATCACAGATATCCATTTTAAATATATATTTTAAAAGGGATTATAATTTTAGAATTTGTTGTAAATCAGAAAAACTAGTGGCTTCAGTACCACAATCTCAAGTTCTCATTAAGAACATGTTGAAGGACATTCCATACAAAGCATGTAAACTCAAGCCTACTGGAAGAAGCTCTTGCATGTTATTACAGAGTGTAGGGTAATGGTACACTCACTTCATTACCATGCACTGTTTTTCTAAAAGGTTTAAGTAAGGTATGTACCTATCCCATTGTGTAGCTTTCATATTATATGATGAAACCTAATGCAAGTCACATATTTCTTTGACTATTGTATTGAAATAATAAATACATCTCGTCTAAAGGAACAAGGAAGAGCATGAACACATACACCCACACCCAGACTCCTGCACACCCCCAAAACAAATATTCACACAGTACAGTGACAGTTGAATTATTCAGTGGTACCAGATCATCTTTCTAGGGCTGATAGATTTAAAGAGGAAGGCTGCAATAAATCACATATTGGCACTATTGTCATTTGGATTGCTACAGGTAAAAATAATGCAATTTTTTTTTGTTTAGATAGAGTCCCAGTTTTGTTTGTTTGGATTTCTCTTTTTGTCTTTTCTCTGTAGCCATGGAAAACTCACTGGGTATAGATCCTGATGTGATTATAAAAGTCTTCTCACTTGATTTTACAAGTTTCTGCTCTAAGATGAGATGACAGTCTTCAGATCATGCTGTCCAGGTCTCTATTAAGTACAAGTCAGCAATTGTCTGAAGTGAATCAAACTCTAGTTGTTTATACAGCACATTTCTCCAGGTTAGTTATCCTCAGGTCCTTCTGTCATCAGCATAGAATTTAGAACTTTGTGTCTTGATCAGCCGACATTTTAAATGTCTAGGGTAGCCCTTCTTATTGCTGAAGGACTGAAAAATGAGTCTTTTTGAGTAGCTCAGCTGCAGATGTAGAGTTTGCAGATATAGACATCAGGACTGATGAATCTCATCTTGGGTGTTCAGCAACTGGCAGGCATTCTTTGTGAGTCAGGAGTAAATCTGTATTCAGTATAAGACCAAGGAATACCTTACTATTGAAAGCTGCTTTCTTCAGCTTAAATGACTTTATTCCAGACAACTAGTAGTTTTCGTTTGTTTTTGTGGTGTTTTTTTTTTTTAAGTCTAATCTTCATTCTTTGTGCATGAGAAAAGATGCTATTGCAAGTGTGTGGACTACATTCCATATTGGGAATCTACATTTTTTAATAGATTCTGATTTGAATGCTGGTAGTAGTTAGGAAAATAAATTTAGTAAAATGTGTTCAAAGCATTAGCAGGATAATATTGGTTGCTAAATATGAAGAAACAGAATGAAACCTAGTATTAAAGACTAAATTTGTCAGTCACCTGAATAAGCAGTGATATACTGTGTCAGTTATAACAGGAATAATTTGGCTGATGGTGTTGATCTACTACAGTGCTATTTTGAAATGAGAAGGCAATAAATAAGTAAGCACATTGAAATTAGCAACGTTCACAGTGCTGTAGTCAGAATTTCTCCATCTTTTCATGTTTGAGCAGCCTAGTGGAAGTCATCTTTTCCCTTATAATTAAATATTTGATAGAGCTGGTTTTATGCTTTGGAAAGCATAAAACTTTGAGAGGAGCTTTTAAGAGGAGCTTTTCTATAATTCTGTTAAAAAGAGATCTAATACTTCTGAAGTATCATCAGTAGTATCACAGTATATTGTGGTACAGATCAAATGTGTACTTAGGCAGATAGTGTCTGTGGAACTCATTGTTATATAAGTGGATCCTGAGGAAGTTTTGTCCTTTCTGGCTTTTATTAGGTAGGAAGGGCTAAGAGGATTTCTATGCCTTTTGGACATTGTTTTCAAAACAGAATTTCTAAAGTCAATTTTCTAAATCTATACCTTGGAATATAAGTGAGTGTTGTGATTTTCAAAGTCTACCTACACCTTTACCTCAAGTTATTCATCAGGAGTGCAAAACAGGATTTCCAGTTGGATGCTTATGAGAAAAAAGAATTTGTGCCTTCTTTTCTACAGTTTCATTACTACAATATTAAAGTCAGTTGCCTGCTCTGTGACAGAAAATCATTTAATGTGTGATCTAATTTTAAAAAGTTCTGTGTGCTCAGTAACTCCTTCAAAAGTCAGTGTTTTAACACTGAATCTGGAACTGCCAAACTGTTCAACACAGTTGAACAAACAGATATTTATATTGTCCTTTGCTGCTTCAATCTATGGCTCCCAACAACTTGCTATCCTATCCATAATGGCTCAACTTATTTCCTCTTCCAATTCTGTGCTTTCATCACTGCCTTGTAGTGCATGCCCCTGTGCCACTGGTTTTACTTTAGAAGCTTTTTTTCTAATCTTCTAATTGTCCAGAATTATTGTTGTATACTCTAGTTGTGCAAGGGTTTCATCTGTCATAATCTTAACAGCATACACTGTGATGTAAAAAAAAAAAAGCAAACTGTTGCCAAATTCACATATCTGATGCCATGAATTTCTCTATAAAATTCAACTAAAATTTGAAATGACGATTTTAAGATTGCTTTCTTTGCTTTAGGGATGTTTTCATCTTTTTTTCTGCTATCAGAAAAATGAGTAATATTTTTTGTAATGAAAAAAAAAAGGCAATACTTAAGATAAAATGACAAGAGCTGACAACTCTGTGTTTGTCAACGGGATTGAAATGAGGCAGAGGTTATTGTTTTCTTTTTCTAAAGATGATCTCTTCCTTCCTTTACTTAACTTGTGAAGCAACCATCTAGCTTTGTTCAAGCTCAGCAGATCATCAGAACTGATGGTTTGGGCCTCCATGGACTCAACAAAGGTCTTACTGCAACACTGGGCCGTCACGGAGTTTTTAACATGGTTTACTTTGGATTCTACTTCAATGTGAAAAACATTCTTCCGGTCAATAAAGTAAGTTTCTCATACAATGGAGTAGACAAGCAGATAAGAGGTTTGGCAATTTGATTAACGTTGTATTTTACAGTGCAAAGCTGTACTGTGACTAACTGCTGATTAACATAACTCCCTGTTTTGCAGAAAATGCTGTAGCATTTTCATGACAAAATTTGTGAACCAAGTTAAGGTTCTACCTTTTGAAGAAAAGCTGAGTATAAACAAAGTAATCGTGTTTGAAATCACAATTTTATGAATATTTCTTTGTACCACAAAAGCAAATTGAAAAGGCAGAAACATGGTGCAAGTATGCTCAGTATGCAAGTATGTTATGCTATGCTAGGTATGTATGTGCGTTGCTATTGTTTTGTTTGTTTGCTTGTTTGTGGTAAACTGGACTAGGAAAGAGATTTCTAGAAAATTTCTAAGTACTCACAAAGCAAGGTGTCAAGCTTGATGAGCAGATAGGGCTGCACTATGGAGGTATCCTGACCATACACAGATCTGTTTACTGAAGGCAGTTCAACCTAATCTTGAAAGATGACAGGAGAGATTTACCCACGTGGGAGGGAACCAGCCCAGAATCAGGACTTACACGGTTAAGAGACTTTATGTAGAATAACCTATGAGCAAGCTGAGAAAAAGAATAAAGCTGTAATTGTTCTTGAAGAAATTTTAGTCAATTGTCTCATATGATTTTATATAAAGTAGGCATTTCCCTTTATAACAAAAGGAAATTTTATGAATGAAAATGTACTAATACTGGAAACTTTCTAAATGGCTGTGTGAACCACAACTAATGGTTTATTAATGACTCCGGTGCATTACTTACTGAAGTGTGTTTTCACTAATGTGATTTTTAGATGATGACAGTTAAACAGTCACAGGTGTAATATGTAGGGATATTCATATAAGAAGCTGCAATTTGCATCAAAAGGGATCAGTTTCTATTCCCATATGAAGCAACACCTCTTTTTTTCTGCACTTCTGAGTAGCCTGGTATTTTTGTTGGCAAGACCGTATAAATGGAGAAAAGCTCCACTTCTTATTTGCAGATCATTACAGTAAATTGAATTGTTAAAGAGCAGCTAACCCACAAGTTTCTACAAGTTTATTTTAGTGTATTTAAGCATACACTGCAGTGTACTTTAATCGTACATTCTAAAAACTCAAGACACAAGGGTAGCTTGATGCAAAGATAGGAGTAAAAACATTTAATCTGATGAAAAGATGGAAAATTGTAGTTACTATGGGGAATACTCAGAACCACATGCGTGTAAGGACAGAAACTTATGCACAACTTCTATGGAAATGCTGTACTTTACCTGCATAGTGATGGAAGATTAGTAATAGTATTCAGCATAAGCATGCTTTTCTAGCATTTCAATTTAAATATCTATGTATAGCACATGATTAGAAAGATTCAGAGCTTTATGACCTGTGAGAAATTAGCTCTTTGTATAGATTCTGTATGACGAAGAGAATTGTTAACGTCTAGAACATAAATTTAAATAAATACAGACAGTGAAAGAGAAATTACTTCAGTGGTGTCACCTGGTGACACAGGTGTCCTGTGTATGCTATCTGTGATCTTTGTACAGCAAGAATGTATTAATTACAAGTGGAGAGGTTTTTATTGTGCGTAACAGTTGTGAAGTGGCTTGTACAGTGGCTTGCAGTGGCTACATCTCAGCTAGTAAATCAAGCAGTATCACTGAAACTCAGTTGTGTGTGCTGCTCAGCATGCCCTGGCCCAAGACAGCTAGCACTGTTCCTGGATATGGCTTGGGAGTTTGTGCACGCAAAGAGTTTAATGGGCAGATTTCCTGCAGGATCTCTGATTTAGATGATGATAGCTCTTAGTAGCAATAATGAAGTTAATAGGACACTGTAGGCCAGCTGGCAGCCATGCCATAGACAGTTCTGTACATACAGATGTAGCCAATAATTCTGATCAACCTCCCGTTAAAATTGATTCAAGTCTTACCCTGAGTTTAACCAGGTGTAGGTCAGGCCTCATCTTGCTTGTGCTAGCCAACAGTATGTCAAATATGTTTATACGAATTGAACTTTGCTTCAGTGATTGGAAAATATCAGCATTCAATAATATGTCATGATAAATATTTTCTAAACATTTTCTATATATTATTATTTTAAATATAAATATATATATATTAATCTATATATCAAATATAAGTATTTTCTAAATATTTTCTGTCAGTAGGCAAGTAGTAGAGGCTGAGTTATCAAACCCATACAATAAATTTGATAGAAGCTATTAGGCAGTTAGTCTGAAAAATTAGTTGTAGCTTTTCATGTTTTCTCACATTTGATTTCATTATAAAACCTAATTTGTTCACTTTGTGCTTTTCACATAAAATCTTGTAAGTCAGTCTTGTGATACTGACAAGCATTTAAAACTGTGAAATAAGAATACTACACTTAAAATAATTCTGGCTCTTGACTATGTATTTGCTGTTCACCTTCTGTAGCGTAAGTGGAAAAATGTATGGAAATATCCATATGAGCCTTTTAGCTGTCAACAGTGCTAAACTGTGCATTAAATTTGCATCCCAATTAAGGATGTTTGCAGCTTATTTTGCCAAAAACAATAAACTTTTTATGTTGAGTGGTCAAATGATATAAATGACATGTGTGGGTTGTAAATGTTCATAATGAATAATTTTTCGTATGTTCAGTCTATTCTGTTAAACAGACCATTTACAGCCAACCTCATGCTCAGTTTACTGAACATGGAATAAGCTAGTCTTGTTTCAATTGCCGCTAATGTATCACCCATAGAGCATTAACGGCTATGCATCTGCACTAGCAATCAAATTAGTCTGAAAATTTATATCGTCTCAGTTTTATGGCACATGCCTTTATAGCATGCTTCATAGGCTTCCAGCAGTTCTTGCTTTTTTTACTTTATCACAGTTTGGTTTGATGGCAAACATTAGTTTCATTAAAACCATTGCTCACTACCACCTCCAAGTGGCTATCATATTTGTTAACAATATGAAAACAGTGCCTGGCGAAAGCTCCCTTTGAATCATAGTCAGCTGCAAAACTCATTTCAAGTCAGACACTGCCTGCTGCAGCTGCCTCCTGTTAAAAGGGAGCAGTGGGCAGCAGTAGCTGAGCAGTCTTGTTTTGCCAGCGAAAGGGCCCTAAACTCCTATAGGCAAGGAAATGGACTATTCAGTTTGGCAAATAAATAAGATTGTAGAGAACAGATTTATTTCCAGTTGTTTTCAGATCTACCTCAGTGTAAAAGTTATATGTAGAAACAGAGTCCAAGGAGAACATGGTGCAAGTCAGTTGAATAAGTAGTGAAACAAGGTGATTTAGGAGAAGGCTGGATCAGAGTGGAAGGCAGAACAACCTCGGAGATACTGTGCAATCTCAAGTTTCAGGATGTCCTATCAGCTAAACAAAATTGCAGTGCTGTACCCAGCAAAATGTCACAAGCCATCCACTGATCATGGCTCTCCAGCTAAGGTGTCCTGAGGCTGTTGAAATGTTGACCAGTGTTGTTTAAGGGCTTCTTCCCTGGCCATCGTCACCACATGTTGTATCACAGGGGGAGTGTCCTTTGCTATCTTACCTTCTCCTGGTCTGTGGTATTCCTGTAGAGGCACACTTGTAGCTAAGTTCTTACAAGACATATAAATGGTCATGTAACAGGAGGAGAGATCGTACAAGCATCCTAGCTAAGGGAAATTGTCAGTGGGAGCTTGTGCTTGGTTAAAGACTGAACTTTATAGGAAACAAAGACCATGTAAATCTTAGTCTGAGTCTGCGCCTTTCTAGATACACAGTCAGTCAGCCACAAGACAAGAATTCATAGGACATCAGCCTTTTTTAGTTCTAATATTTATGGTGCTACTCTTTTTTTTTTTTTTTTTTTCCTGTTTCATAACTAATTGTGTAACTGAAGCTGATGATGGATAACAGATGGATGCGGGGGGTACACAAAAAGATGTCCATTCCAGAGTGTCAGTTTCTGCTTCAAGGAATTTGAAGGGACTCATAGTTGATGTCTAAATGATGCCTTGAAGATGTGGCCTGCTTGTAACCCCAACAGATCACGAACAATCTGATGATCTGTGTAGACTTACTCTATGTGGTAGAGCTGATTGGGATTACAAAAGAAGGTTCATGTGAAATTGGCTGACTGATTCTGTTTTTAGAAGTGTAGTTGATAGTCTTCCAGGTATTTGTTCCCTAGGAAGTGTAACATCAAGCACTAAATATTGAATGACAGGAATATTAAGTACTCTCTTTTGGGTAAACAGAACATCACTGGTATGGGACGAATGCAGAAGGTGATGGAAAGATACAGTCGATAAAGAGTTTGTGAGGAGACAAAAGAGTTGAGTTTCTTTTGTCTCTTTGCTGTTCTACTTTCAATGGTCTGACAGTAATCTACAGCAATGTAACATTTGTTGAGAGGAACAAGTACGGATCAGTCTGCCTCTTCTCTTGGGGACTGTACAGAACTTCCAGAATTCTGTGTATCTTGTATTCAGTGACCATATTTTTATCATCTCCTGGATTTTAACTATTTATTTATTTATATCAAAAATTCTTTGGTGCAGTTGTTTGTTTTAGGACTAAGTGGAGAGGAGTCCCAGCTTTGCCTGAGAGGTCTGAAAGATTATGACAGAAGAGTAGATAATAGGTAATAATTTGTAACTAAAGATTAATAGTTGTATCAGGAAATTCTATTGTGAGGGGGAAAAGAAAGATCACTGATAGGGTTGCAAACTGTTTGAAAATGCCTGCATTTTACAGCAGACAGTCATCTCACTCTGGAGCATAGCCAGGATACTTATCCTAGTAGCTGTCATTCATTTATTATGCTGTTGGCCATCTGACAGATGGATTTTAAAAACTTAAATAAATGTCTGCTACAATGAGATTGCTCTCAAGGAGGAATCAAAGATAATACCAGTGTGAAGAGGCACATTTAATTCAAACAAAACGCAGCTGTGACTGCGTGTTTTGGAATGCCTCTCACGATTATGTTTGTTGTTGTTGAGCATTTCCTATGCATCTTGACAAAAATCAGAACATGATTATACTAATCAGACAGCAAGCTATAGTTTACAGTAAGGAGTTTACTATGTAAGTGCACGAGATGTTCAGAAGTTCAGGGTAAATAAGAACATGAAGCTGTTTGTAAAACTGTGGTCAAGTGTTGAGTAAGTTGCAAACAAAAATTATGACTGTTCTTTAAAAGAATCACAGCATGATATTACCACAACAGTGACAAGACTAGTTTTCACTTCTCATTTTCACACTCTCTGGAGCCTTGCAGTGAATCTACATTAAATTCTCTTCATTTCTGCTGATTTCTGCCCAGAGTTTGTGTGCCTCCAAACTACCTGAACACACCGGTACCAGCTCCTCCCTCCCTGCTAGTAGAGTATGACAACATTTCTTCCCAGCTCTCCTCTGAGACTCAGTCTATGCAACACCATGGTCTGTTACGCTGCCACACACTTGATAATAATAAATATAGCCGAGATAAGGCCTCTGGCCAAATCACAGACTTCTGTCTTTTAAAGTCTTCCTTTTTATACACAGGGAGATGGATGTGCAGCCTAAAGTGCAAAGCCTCTCAGTTCTGTTCATTGCTTCTCCACTGACCTATTATGTCATGTTGAGCAGAAGTACTTACTTCTAGCAGTTATTTCACACTTTTATGCATGCTACCATGTATGTGCACACTATCTGTCTCTACCATCTACCTTATATACTTTCAGCTGTTCCTTTGAAAATACTTACTCTCTTCACTTTTTATAGTGAGTGTAGTATTCCACCTTTCATTCATTGAATTGCATCTGAGATAAGCATCTAAATCAATACACATGTATCTGCTATGGTGAGTAGTACCATATTATTTATTCTAAAATTAATTTTCAGTTTTTCTGGTAGGGAGCTAGAGATCAACCTTCTGATGCTCTCTCTTCACATGTTCTCCATCAGTTATGCACTTGGATTCACAACGTCTTATCAGTGACTTAAATTAACTGAATTCCAAGCATATATGGCTTGACCAAATAGTTATATCACTGTTGGATTAATATCTATACTGCTTGTGGATTTTAGTGACCTTCCTTCAGTACAGATTAAGATAGTATGGAACTTTTGACTTATACTAAAGATTTAAACAGATAGTTTTGACAAGTACCTAGCTAATAAGCGTGTGAATAAAGAGTAGTTATAGGAGAGCCTGGGATTTTGGATTCTGAAACTGATAAGTGAAGTGTCTCCAGTGGGGAACAATATTGTACTTGGGTATATATGTGCTAGATTCAGAGTTAGAATGCTCTGTTACTAGAAATTATAGTATTTAGAAGAAGGAATTAAGCAGCATCTGATCTAGGTGGAAGTTACGGAGTCTCCATTTTGTTCACAATATTATAATAGTAATGAAGTATAACAAGCAGAAATGCAATATCTCAATTGTTTTTTCTCCCTAAGAATGTATGGATACTCAGCATGGGATGCATTTGTTAGTATTACCTACTTTTCTCTGTTTATGCTCACATGGCAGGAGCTCATGTGTATAGGAGATGTGATCATGAAGGACGTGCTAAAAAGATAAGAGGATCAAAGTTTACATTTCTAACCACAACAAAGTTATTGTGTTATGAATAAGAAAACTGTTAACTTCCATGAGGTACACTATACTGTGGTATGGCACCATATAAAATCATGTTTCTGCTCTAATTCACATTTTTGCTCATGTTACAGAAAAGTTATTTTTGCTTAAAAACAGTCATTTTTCTTCCTCAGCTATGCCATTCACAAAAGCAATGGGAGATCGTCAGAATCTTTTTCTCTAATGTACCAAATATAAAATATATAATATGCAATCGGTGAAATGTATGTAGTGACAATAGCATGATCATAATTTTCTCTGGTAACCAGTTCCAGCATTTGCACTTGGCAGATGCATTACCTCATGTGTCTTTCCGTGGGGTCTGAGGCTGATAGGAATATTTTGGCATTGTCCATTGAGTAGAAAAGGTTGGATTTCACTGTAAGAAGAAAGTGTTTTGTGATAGCACCAGCTTGCACATGCGTGAGAGATAACCAATGTTCTTTTGTCCATATAAATTTTGTAGGCAGAAGCCTGAGTTGTATTTGGAAATCTCTTTTTTATATGTAGAAGTAGTAGCACACTAAAAAGAAACTACTCTGTGCTTTTAGAAAAAAACTTCTTAGTTATTTTACATTAATGTGGAATCCATGGTATTTATTAAATGACTTGCGTATTGCAGTGATGAATACCACAGAAAAACATTTCTCATAAAGTACGTAATAAAAACTGAAGTTACAGAGCAAAGTTAGTGTATATTGTAGCAAATTTGGTTATAATCCACTTTTATGAATAAGCAAAATGCTGCCTTCCAACATTCTTAATGTCACAAATACTGAAATAGAAATGAAGCAGTTTTAATTTCCCTTTAGTTATGTTGGTGCAATGTTACATTTCAAAAGAAGCTGCCTAGTGGGATTCTCCTGCATATACAGTACTCTGTTGCACTGCCAGTTTCAAAGCAAGCAACACTGACATCAAGAATTCACCAAAACATGAAAATGAGCAATCATTCAAATATAAGCAGCAAGGCTTGAAATTCACTGTTTAAGAAGTAAATACTTTTGCCTTACATGTATTGCTTAGCCCAGAGTATAACCCAGTGTGCTTAGTACTACAGAAAAATTGTTCTTGCACTTGAAAGGGGTATTTTAGATCATTCCAGACTGTGAAATGTCAAATCAGTAGTGTATCCGCCTCGTTGCAGGCTGGCCAGAGGAGTTAGCTCAGTTCCCAGGTACAGATGTGATCATATGGCTGTGGGATGGGCACCTTGTTATAAAGGGGCTGCTGTGCCTGGATTTCCAAGGGGTTCTTTTTCTTCCCTGGTACCAGAAAAATAGGCTTCATTTTATTTCCATTTAAACCAGTGACAGTATGTACAGAACAAACAGAGGTCTTCTGCTAATTTTTTTACTAGTAAGTACAATTTGTTGTGTAGAAAGAAATGGGTATTAGCTATTCTAAATTTTGAAATGTATTATCAGTACTCTTCATGTTTTGTAAAATCAAAGTGTTGAGTTTTTCTGCAAGTAATAAAATGCTGTGCTGATTTTGATATCCAAACAACTGTATG